CCACCATCACCTCTCGGGAGATCCAGACCGCTGTCCGTCTCTTTCTGCCCGGTGAATTGGCTATAACTAATCAAAATGACACGAAAAAAGGAAAATGAATTGGATCTTTCATTATAACTAGTGATACTGCCCCCCCCCCTCAACTTACGTACGTAACCATTCCACATATCACTTTGGGTTCTTGCTCATCGGAAACTCGTGAAACTGCGCAGGACGAGTTCCGCAGTTCTAAAAATAAGAGAAATACATTTACTTTGACCAACTGACGACTCAATAATTTGTTTCGAAGCGTCAAAATCGCGAGGTGCAGCAGGCGGTCATCACGCACCCCTATGCGCGCGGCGCACTTGCCGTGCTCGTGCAGTGCACCCGTGTCGCTCCCGCTCCGCTCGCGAACCGCTCGCGTTCTGCTCCCGCATCGCTCCCGCCGTGCTCTCCCTGTGCTCTCGCGGTGCACCTACTCTGCTCGCGTGGTGCACTCGCCTCGCACTCGATCTGCGCTCGCCGTGCTCTCGACTCGCGCTCGCATCGCACCCGTAGCGCACTCGTTTCATTTTTAAAGGGGCGTGTCTCCCTTAACAATATTTTTATCTATTTCAATTTTTACTTGTTCTTAACCTCCCCTTACTTGAAATATCAGACCGAAATTGAAACGATATCAAATATCAGATATGTGTCAGTTGTGTCAGAAGTGATGCGAAAATTGTCAAATGATAACGTTCTGATATCAGTCCAATATTTCATTTCTCACTGGGCATATACTATGAGGTAAAAAGAATGACTGTACTTGTACTTGGTGTGGCTTGATTTAGAAACATCAATTGATCTCAATGAGTATGAAAGTCACACACATGATTGTGTATGATTGGTGAATGCACCAATCAGGATAAGAAGAAAAGAACAAGTATATCTTTTTTAAAACCATATTAATTTGGTGTTGTCTGGGCTTCTTGTCTATCTAGTATTTCCAACCAAACAGAACATCCCTTGGCCTCAAAAAGAAATTCAGGAACTTAATTAAAGATGTTCCTCATTTGAAGAACAATTTGAAGTTATCGGAGAATACCTTGGAGGAGCTGAGCAGGTGTGTTAAACTTTCTCTTCTTCCATGTATCTTTATTTTTATTTTTTTGTTTTTGCACAAATGCTTTTAATTGTGGTGCTAATTATTTTTTTGTTGTTAAATTGCAGCCTTGTTCTAAATGAAGACCCTACCCCAAGACAGCGCACAAGAAAAGTAAGTTGTTATTTTGAGCCAAGTGCCGCATAATATGCAGTGTATTTTTCTTGATAGGTTATTATTATTTTACTTTCTTTCACTCCTCTCCACTTTTAGGAAAGAATCCAGGAACGATCAGGACCCGACAATCTCTTACCAGAGTCACCACAGCAAGCAAAGGTAAATATCATACTTTGCTACTTACATACATATTAAAGTGCAAGTAAAGTGTTGCAGTTGGTTGGTATTTATATTTCTACTCTTCAGCATTCTAATGTCAATTTCTGTTACCCAGGAGGTTAATGCATGCAGTGCCGAGCAGGAGCTCGCAACTGTAGTTGTGAAAGAAGGGAAAATAATTGAATACTACACCAATGAGAACAGAAGATTAAGGGAAGACTTGGAAAGAAGGGGGGCAAATGAAGAATGGAAAGAAAGGTATGAAGCGGAGAGGAGGCGGAGAGAGGAGGTTGAGAAGAAGTATCAAGAGAAGAACAAGCAGATAGAGCAGACAGCAGCAAAGAAGAAAGAGCAAGAGGGGCAGGCAGGAGAAAAGAAGAGAGAGCAAGAGAAGAGGGCAGCAGAAAGAAGGGTTGTGGAATTGGAGAGAGAGGTTTTGAAAATGAAAGAGGAAAGAAAAAAGGAGAGCAATCAAGAGAGGAATAAGGCAGAAGAACTGAAGAAGGAGAGAGATGAGTTGAGGAAAGAATTGGATAGAGCAAAGGACGAAATTAGAAAATTAACAGAAGAAAACAAAAATTTAACGGGCTGTGTCTCAACTGTGACAAATGCGGTGGTTGTCCTCCGCCAAAAGTCACCACAACCCACCAGGCCTTTAATGAATGAGCAGCTTCAAGTACCAATAATCAGTCGCAAATAATTTTTTATATTATGTGGGTTTTTCCCCCCGTTCATTTTAGTAATAGCTATTTATCTAGATTGCTTGTTATAATATATTGCAACAACATGTTGCCTCTCCTTAAATTAGCATGCACCAATATTTATTGAAATCTGTGATTGTTCTTAGTGTACTACTTAAAATAATTGCTATGTGAAATTTCTTCCCGCGGAGCCAGTCTGCTCTCGTGCGGCGCCATTGCGGCGCAACCTACATACGGCAATCAATCCGTCTGGGTTTTCCAGGCGCTTTTTTGCTATTCCCAGGCGCTGTCTGGTTTTGGCAGATGTATTCCCAGCCGGCTCCTGGGAATCGACCCGAATCGACCTCTAATCGGACTTTTTCCAGGCCACGCCTGGGATTTATTTTCCCTTTCCCAGGCGGCTCCTGGGAATCCTGTACCAAGCGCCTCTTTCCCAGGCCGATCCAGGATAGACGCCAGTGCTTGTCCTCATGACGATCACCCCGTCACATGCCATCCTGGTATCTGGGACCTACTGAACACAGCGCCGAAGTCCGTTTCTCTCTGCGGTCTACGGTTCGCGAGATACGAGGGTGTACCACGAGGCCCCTGTCAAGGACAACGAAATTTGAGTGGAATTTTGGAGGCCAAAGTGATCCTGCGCCGGCCTCGTTATGTGTCCAGGACTTCTGGCCTCGGCATTCGATGGTGCAGGTTCTCACCGTTCTGGGGACCACCTCGCCACCCGACTTTCCTTATCTGAATGCGCCCCTTATTGGACTGTCGGGGGCGCGAGGGACAGGCGACGCACCGCGCGCACGCCAAGCCCTCCATGCCAGACGCCTGTGGTTGTGAACTACGTCCGGCTGGTCGAATGATGCGGACGGATTACAAACAGCCCTCACCTCACTCCCGTACGATCAGCTGAGCGGCCAAGCCGCGGCCATCTTGGATGTGAGGTTATGGGCGCCCGTAATCCGTCCGCATCCCGTCCACATCTTTCGACTTGCTCGGCATCTGAGTAAAAGTATCGTCATTTATCGATGCTAAGGGGTGCCAAGACAAAATATCGTGGATATTTTTATCCTGTGTTTGTTATTACACACAATATTAAGACGGGCACACGAGCCGTAATTTGAACTACGGGCGGGAGGACAAATGGTGACGTCACGATTCGGCGACCAATAAGATCGCGAGGGGTCTACTGACACTACCTACTTAGAGATGAGCGAACAGTTCGAATTTGATCGAACTCGAACGAACATCGAGCTGTTCGTGATCGCTCGAACACGAACATGAGGTGTTCGGATTCGAACTGTTCGAACACTTCTCGAACAGAAGTTCGTAGGCGAACAGAATTCAAGTATATTTCAGAAAGACGCGTCAAAAATGGTCGTAATTAAGGGGGCAATGACAGGCTAGTAAAAAAACACAATTTTAAACGTTAACGGAACTATTGTAATCCACCATAAAGAGCTTTTGTAACTTATTAGCAAAAAACAAATTTCTAGAATTGTTCGTGTTCGAATCGAATTTGAACATTAAACTGTTCAGTTCGGTTCATTCGAAGAAAAAAATGGTTGTTCGTGTTCGTGTTCGTTCGAAGATTTTTAGACCAAATTTGTTCGAGTTCGTTCAAATTCGAACCGGGCTGTTCGCTCATCTCTATACCTACTGTAGGCCTACTACCTTGGTAGTGGGGTGGCAGTGACACCCGCGACCCTCCATGAGGACATTTTTTTGTAACGGAACTTTTGCGGCCGTTATTGTTCCGTTATTCGTAACGTTACTTCTACCTTTTTCTAGGATAGCTTCAGACCCGTAACGTTACAAGACGTACCTACAGAATGTAACGTAACTACCTGTGTGGGTATTGTGTAACGTTACATCCGTAACGGACAGAACAACTCGGACGCACGGTCTAGGTCGTGTTTCGTAACGTTACAGAAAGTGGAACTGTAGAAAATGTAACTCTGTTCGGTTACTGATAACGAAACTCACGTACGCTCAATGACGTTATTGGTGCGGCAACGTAACGAAAAACTCAGAGAAAATAACGTTTCTTTTTGTTACGTTACTGGTCCCTGCTTCAGGCTGAGTGAGTATGCTGCCACACTAGATGCACTTCTCACCGAGCAGGTTGCCCACGCCCGCCGGCCCTTCACCTGGAGGCAGCTAGTGGACGCACTGCGGTCTGCGGCGGACGGGGTGCTCACCCCAGCGCCTGACCCCCCCACGCCGAGGAGGCGCGCCGCACCCAACGCCACCGCAGCCGCCCTCACGGCCTTCCACAGGGCGGGCCAGGCGCCTTACGCGGCCGACCGCCTGAGGGCGGCCCGAACCGCGCAGCGCGCAGCCCGTCAACAACATGAGGAGGAGGCCCGCGGCCGCTTCTTCGCCACCATTGAGGACACCAGGCCACGTTCAGGCGAAAGGGATAGATCTACGTGTATGTATCCACGTAGTACACGTTGAGTCAACGTAGATAGCCCATTCTGTTCCCATATTGAGTTCAGCAGAATACAGCATAATGTTTTCTGACATCTTGTTTTAATCGAAGTCCTCCTTGGACTGAAAATAACCCACCTTAATTGAAGTACCTTAAACGTTCATAGTTACGCAGATTATATAATATAAAGATTAAGAGGATTCTAGACGAATTTTTTGATATTTATTTCGCACATCCTTTAATATATTTTGAATCGCATGAAATTTAATTTTAAGCATTACAGTAACAGCAAGGAACTTGATGAAATGATACAATATATTTTAGAAATGACTCTAATCCAAGGAATGTCGAACACAGTGGGAAAGATGATCGACAGCCAGGCCGCCACATGGCCTGTAACAATTTCAGTACAGCAATGCAATGGATCTTGAGAGTTGAGCAGGATGAATGATGGTAGGGCTTCTAAAACAGTATAATTGTCATGAGCATAAACACCTAATGGTAATTAAAAATTGTGGCAAAGTACACCCTGGCTGTAAAATGCAGATCTATTTCATCAAAGTTTCTCTTAGGTCGATATTCACATTGCCCGCCCTTGGAAGTGAAGAGAAAAATAGCGATGTACTTAAGTGGCAGCATTATTATTTGGCCAAAAAGACAAACTGAATTTACATA